TCAGAGAAACAATGGTTTACAAAATTATTCGTTTTCTTTTTTTTAATTTAAAATAATTTTTTTTGTTGTTAAATAAAAAAAGTGAATTTAGATTACCAGTAGTGACATTACATGTGTACAAATGGAATCCCTAAAAACTAAATTAGGATTCATTTATATTATTATGAATTGAATTGTTTTTAAATGAAATGGAACGTAAAGTTACCACGGTAAAAATGGTTTACGCAACGCAAGTAATTAATTCAAGTGATGATTATCCGAGTCCCAGTCAGTTTGAAGAGTGGAAACTTCAGGCTCAAATGGGGGATTTTAGTAAATCCACGTTAGATTTACCCGTGAGTTCAAAATCCGCGATCGAAGACGGTTTGAAACGACCGAGCGTTCAGTTAAATCGTTATAATAAAATTGAACGAAGGCCTCCCGCCATACCCGAGTGCGAAATATTAGATGACGACAATTCGAAAAGTTTAGTTAGGGAAAACGTGAAAACGAGCATTTTGAAAAGTTCTCGCGATAGGCCGTCCATATACGAAAAGGGAAACAATTCGAGGTGCAACACGATCGGTCACATGAAATCGTCAACGAGTTTGGCGAATATTGCATCGGATATAGTGGTCGTGTCAGCAGGATGGTTTTCGTCATTAAGGAGACCGGGGAGGAAAAGGAAGAAGAAAAACGAGTCAAATTGTTCGATAAAAGCAAAATCTGCATGGGATTTATCGAACTTGGCAAAACTGGTATGTGTTTAAACACATTTTCGTCGTTCGTAATTTACTGTTTAGATGATACGGTCAAAAAAAAAATGTTATTGATTCTTAAATTTCTTTTTTTTTTTTTTTAATTGAATGAGGAAACAAGACGAATGTGTTTTTCCATTTTGGAAAATTAATTTTATTCTTTTTTGTTCTTGTTTTTTTTTTTTTATGAAGCGACCCAAATATTCTAACACAATGAAAAATGAGACATTGAACTTGTTTTTTTTTTTTTTTTTTTTGCAACAAAATACAAAAATTCTCACATTATTTAATCGTGCCTAACTCGTAAAATTTATTATTATTAGATTTTCCAGTCAATAAAATCATTTGGAAAAATTAATTTTCTAATCCGCACATAAATTAATTATAAATAAATATTAATAAATAAGACGACAAAATATTTCGTTAATAATAAAGTAACGTAGCGTAGCGTAAGACGTTCATAAGAATTTTTGATTCGCGGGGAGGGGGAGGGGGCGGGAGGAGAATAAATTTGGCAATGAAATTGAAATTATTTTAATTTAAAGTCTGCAAGTATTTATAAAAAAAAAAAAAAAACATGTTTAAAATTTATGAGAGAAGACGATTCGTATTAAAGTCAGACGCGTCTCGAAAACATAATAAAAATCACATTTTCTTCGTATACGTAAATATGATTCATAAAATTTTTTTTCTAAAGGACGAAGTCAATCAATGTGTTTGTGTGTATTTCTATAATTATTTTATAGTCGCTATTATTATTATTATTATTATTATTAAAGTCGATTAAGTAATTTTTTTTTTTGATTAACTTAAGAAAAATAATTAAAGCAGCACAAACCTGTTGCTATGTAAATGTATAAGTTTTCGTTCAAATTGAGTCAGGGACACGTACGTGTGTACATTTATTATTTCTTGTTGAACATGAAAAGTTTTTTTTCTCTCTCTCTCTCATTTAAGTATTAAGTTGCGAAATTTTTTTCTTTCTTTTTTTTTTTTTTCATTTAAAAATATATAGCCAGGGCGTCAACCCGTTAGAATCAGCTAACGATTATAATTTTTTTTAAAAAAAAAGTGTGTTTATATTTTTTTTTCCATCTTCTCCAAAGATCCAATCAAAGTTGATTAATAATAATAATAATAATAATAGTTTTCATCCGTTTTTTTAAAAATAATTATTCAGGTTTTTGAAGGTGTGCGGAAATGCCGATTTGTTTTCTTTTTTTATTCTCTGAAACGATTTCACCTTTCGAATTGTAGGGAGCCATTGTTGCAACATTTAACGAGTTGATAAATAAATAAATAATAATTATTGTTGTAAATTAAATTTGTTATTAATTTTTTGTTAAAAATTAATGTTTTGAAACTTATGATTATTTATCGATAAATGTTTGGGTCAACGGAGTTTTAATTGAATGTTTTTTTTTTTCGTCAATGGGTGCATTATATGTACATAAACATATTTGTTGTGATGATGATAATAATTTTTCTGGGAATTTCGGGAAAAAATATTTACAAAGATAAAAATAATATTGTCAGGCATATAAAGTTTTTCGTCGTTTTTCGTTACGTTTAAAATTTTGTATTTTTCACGAGGGGGGGGGGGAAATAAATTTATAATCATTTTCATTCGTTTTTTCTCTCTCTCTCTCTCTCGAATTTAAAAATTTACGAACTATTCATTTCCGATCATTGAAATTTAAATAAAAAAAAAAAAAAATACACAGTGCACATTATTATTAGCATCATCAGTATTATTATTATTGTTCTTTTTTTTCTTTTTTTTTTTTATTAAATGAGAAATTAAACAATGATTTAATTATAACCTGATTGAATGATTTTTTTC